ACAGCAGCCAACGGCTGAATACACAGCAGCCAACAGCTGAAAAAGTGGGAGGACAGGTCAGAAGACCGCCTAGAAACCCCGCTAGCAACGCTAGAATAAAAAACACTCGCAACTAAACTAGCCAACAACACAAACAACTAAAACTACTACCTGAGTGTCGGACCCCAACAGAGTAATACCCAAGTGTCGGACCCCAACAGGGTAATAAGGTGACACTCGGGCGTACAGAGTGACACTCAGGTGCACAGAGATTAACTGCCCAAACCAAAAACACAAACAAAGAGAACATCCAAAATGAAACCTACTCAAAAGACACACAAAGCCCTTCCCCAACGAGATACCCGAACCCATCACAAGGCACCAACGAAATCAGGACCAAACACCCTGTATCTTGATGCGAAAGTCGGAACACCACTCCCGCCACTGCCTAAAGCCTAGCAAAGGATTAGTCCCAAGTCTCGAATCACTCCAAGGATGTAGCCGACCCAAAGCCCGGAGGATCGAACGGCCCCAACCCAAAGACCCGCCTCCCAAGACCGGACCAGAAACACTAGTCAGAAACCGGGCCTGTCGGGCTTCCAGCTCCACGCAACCAGCGAAGAGAACACAGGGACATGAACCAACCGACCTCAACCCCGGCCGCAGCGACTCAAACGAGCCAAGCCACCTGGGTCGCACCCAATCCCAACCACAACCACTCACCTTCTTGAAGCCAGCCACCACGAACCCGGCACGCAACGAAGAAGTCCCCACCTCAGAGAACCAGGAAACGGGACCACCGTCGGCAAGAAGGAAGCAGCGAGATCTGCCAACGGGCTTGGGAGAGACACCAACGGCGCAGGATCACTGGCAAGCAATAAATTGGGACGGGATGTCGAAGCTGTGGGTCATCCGCCGGCGAAAGGGCCGGCTAATCGCCGGGTGTTTGTCCCATTTTTGTTGTGTTTTTTCTTGTTATTTTTCCTTTCTTTTTCCCCCATTTTGTGTCTTTTCGTCGTTTTTTTAGTTCGCATTAGTGTTTATTGTGTATTTCGCTCTATTTCGGTCTTCTTTGTGTTTTCCGTATATTTTTCCCGTTTGTCTTTCATTTTTGGTGTGCAGGTCTAAGGCCTCGAGATAATCATGTTTTGGGCAAAAATTGACCGGGCAAGCATAATTAAAAAGAGCATTTCGTAGGCATTGCAAAGAAGAAAACGGATTTGAATTTCGACACTACACGCACCCAAGCGAACCCGGAATGCGAGGTGATGCGAGCAAGCCACGACACATGGGCCAGCACCGCGCCGCGAAGGCACCACAAGGCCGACAGAGTGCCCAAGAACGCGCGCCGTGCCGTGAAGAGGGACCACGCCGTGCCAGTGTAGTCATCTGCCACGTCGCGCCGGTGCCCCGTCTTGAACAGACGACCAGACCTCGCTCACCGCGCCGCGGCAGCCGTCGCGCCGCGGCGCCTGCTACTTACCTCGACCAGACATTCTCCTCCGCGCCGTGGAGCATCATCACGCCGCGCTGCCCTCCTCCCCCGCGTCGCGGCAAGTGACGCGCCACGGCAGAGTCCTTCATCACGCCGTGCTGCTCCTCGCGGCGTCCTCCACACGCAGACAGAGCTAGCAGACTCCCACGTCGCGCCGCGCTACTCCTTCATGCCGCGGTGCATGCCTCCCTCGCGCCGCGGCACAACCGCGACGCCCGCCACAGACCAGTAGACTACACAAACCTCCCAGGCGTCGCGCCGCGCCTGCCCTGCCGTGCCGCGGCACCACTTACTTTCTCGCCCGTGACGTTTTTCTCGCGCCGTGGCTCGTGCGTACTATATATAATAAGTTCGAGATTGTGATAGAAAAATCTCTCTCGACCGGGTGTAAGCCCTAGGTCCAGAGAAAACACTCAATCTCCTCATCTTCCCTTCTTTCTCCTTCCTTTCTTCTTCTTCATCATCTT